GGATAAGCAATTTTGGAGTAATCTTTAATAAATTTCCTGTAGAAACCAGTAATACCCAAGAAAGATTTAATTTGTTTCTGGGTTGTGGGCAACCTTAGATTTTGTATTACCTCAACTTTAGCTGGGTTTGGCTTAATACCTTCAGGTGTAAGCAAATGACCTAAAAAATCAGTTTCTTTTTTTAGAAAACTACATTTTTCCAACCGAATCTTTAATTTGGGTTCCTTTAATTTTTGAAATATTTTTTTTAAATTTTCTATATGTTCCGTCAATGAGGTACTAAATATTAAGATATCGTCGAGATAGACGACACAAATTCTATTTATGTAATCTCGAAGTACAGAATTCATAAGGCGTTGAAACGTCGATGGAGCATTTTTAAGTCCAAAAGGCATTCGCAAGAATTCATAATGGCCTAGTGGAGTAGAAAATGCAGTTTTTTTCCTGTCATTTTCATCCATCAAAATTTGATGGAAGCCTTTGGCAAGATCAATAGAAGAAAAATATTGAGCCTTACCAAGTTTGTCCATAATTCCATCAATATTAGGAATTGGGAATTTGTCGCTCACCGTAACTTCATTTAGTCTTCGGTAATCAACAACAATTCGCCATTTTTGGGAACCGGACCTGTCAACTTTTTTAGGAACTACCCACAAGGGACTATTATAAGCAGAATTGCTTTCTTTAATTATATTGTGTTCTAGCATTTCTTTTATCTGCTTTTGAATTTCAATTTCGTGGGTTTGGGGGTATCTATAAATTTTTGAATAGATTGGTCGGTCAGTTGTTGTTATTATTTCGTGCCGTATTTCATGGGTACAGGAAAGTTTATCCCCTTCTTTGAAAAAAAGTTCGTTAAATTGTTGTAATAAATTTTTTACTGATTGTATTTCTTCCTGATTTAAATGATTTAAGTCTAAGTTCCTAATATCGCTAAATTCAAGTACGCTAATTTCCTGATCTTTATATGGGTTAGAATTTTCGAAAGGTATGGTGGTCCCTAATATATTAATAAATTTGTTTTCTACATCTATCTTAGCTTTAAGAGGGATGAGAAAATTTTGGCCTATTAACGCTTCATAATTTTCGCTATTGAAGTTAATTACTTTCCAGGAGAAGGTACCTGAGACATTAAATTCTCTACGTATTGGAGTAACAACTTCGAAAGTGACTTAATTTATTCCGTTTATTGTTTTATAGCAAAGAGGACCAGAGAGTTTTTTTTCGATAAAATGTTTTTCTAGAATACCTGGTTTTATTATACTGGTATCCGAGCCAGTGTCTATAAGGCACTTAATTTTTCTGTTACCTATTGTTATAGCTATGGGTAATTTGCAGAATGAGGCGTTTGGAAAAAATTTACATCTTGTGCTTTCTCTATATTATCAATTTCCATTGGTTCTATTTCATTAAATGTTGGTTTATTATATCTATTAAAGCTAGGATTATTATTATTATTTCTATATTGAAATGAATTATTATGTTTATTCCTACGTTGAAATGAATTATTATTATAATTATTACCATTTTGAATTGAATCATTATTATTTTTATATTGAATTGTATTATTGTTATGACTTCTGAATTGGTACGAATTGTTATCATTGTTTCCATGTTGAGTTGAACCGTTATTATAATTACTACTCTGAATTGAGCCACGATTATTATTACTTCGATATTGTTTCGAATTATAATAACCATTTTTATATTGAATTGGGTTGTTAGATTTATTCGTTTCTCTATTTGAGTATGTAAATTCTTCTCTATTCTTTCTATGTCTAACATGAATAGCTCTAATGTCATCGAGTAATCTTAATTTAGTATATTTTGTAATAATTTCATTGAGTGTACATTTTCATCAAGATTTGCTCTAAGCGGTCCATCAATTTTCTCAATTAATATATTCACTAAGTCTCCATCAACATTACTAGGTTTATATATTGATGGTTTATCGCAATCAAATTCATATAATTCACTAATTTCAAACTTACATTTTTCAAAATAATTAAATAATTCTCTAAGATTATTTACCTTGATACTTCGACACTTATTAAATACTTCGCCATAGGTTGCCCTCGGTCTAAATTGATCTCTTAGTTTCTGTTTTAATTGCTCCCAGTTAACGCTATCTCCCAGTTCTCGAACATAATTTCCAGCTTCTCCACTAATTTTTTCATTAATTACAATCTGTATACCGTAATTTATTAATTGCTGGTTATCATTACACAATGAAATTGTCATTTCTACAGATTTAATGAAAGCACTTAAATTATGATCTTTATCCAAAGTTTTTAATTGTCGAAACTGTTGGATAATATCCTTGGAACTGAATACATTTTGTTGTTGTTGATGATGTTGTTGTTGTATAACTTGTTCCTGCTTTTTAATAATTTCTTCGAGTTCACTAATTTTATTTTGATACTCCATATTTAAGTCGATTCTTGAATTGTCAAACTGTGAAATGTTCTTTAATCGTTTATCTGGCATTTACTCAACTTGTTATAAATGTTTATTATGTGGTATATATTCTTTTTAATTATATATATTCATAAAGATCAAACTTCTTGCCAACTCTCGAATTTAACAGTACTTCACAATGAGTAATTTATAATTTGGTTTAAATCAAAAATTAATACCGCAATCACCTCTTTTTTTTATATTTTCACTTTTTCATTTAATGTATTTAGAATTAATTGTTACAAATAGTTTATAGTTTCTTTAAATCTTTAGATTTTAAAGTTTACCGAGTTTTCCGACTGCGCCAATTATATTAAATTAAAACGCACAAAACTTTAGTTTGATGTTCGCTTTATTAAATGAATCTTAAGACTAACAATTTTGCTTATATTTATAATGAGGATTCGAAGTATCGAATCCTGATAAGACAATTCGTTGTTTGGTTAGGCCGAACAACGATAATAATATTTTAAGTTACAATGTTTATTTAAAGATAATAGAATATGATAAAATATAATGTAGATCTTTCGTTGTTTGATTAGGTCGAACAACGATAATAAAATGTTTATATTTATAGTGAGGATTCGAAGTATCGAATCCTGATAAGACAATTCGTTGTTTGATTAGGCCAAACAACGATAATAAAATTTTAATAGATGTAATTTAGATATTTAGTTGTTTGATTAGGTCAAACAACGATAATAAAATATTTAATATAGGGATAAGATAAGAGAATGTAACTCGCGCGAGGTGACGTCATTTCAGCGGGGCTAGTAAGTACTTGGTATAAACTCAATAATAAAATAATAAACGCAGGTTGATATTTAAGAGATTGATGTGCATTAGAGATGTTTTATTTAAATTTGATTTAGATATGTACTTTATTTCAATTATATTTATAAGTATACATATAGGTATGTGAAAATAGATGCTGGTTCAAAAATATTAGTCTTTTTTATGATATGTAAATAAATTTTATTTCATTTGTCAGTATATATATATTTTTTTTTCTTTTGTTGTTATTACTTTATAATAAACAGATAAATAAAAAACAAAAAAAAAAGAGGAAAGATTTAAATTAAAACCATAAAATTTTTGTTTTTGATTACATTTATAAACATTAATTTATTCTTATGTGAGTGGAGCTTTATTCGGCTAGTAGCAATAGCCTAATTATGATTTAGACTCCAATCGTTAGCTCTAGAGGTGTGCTTCAGGTAGATCAAGGGGGCCTAGCAAAAATAAAATCAGTTAAGTAAAGAGAAACACAGTAAGCCACGGACGTGCGACTTTGTGAAGAAGACGAAAAGCTTTCGCCAGATGAAGCATTACGTAAAGCACTCATTATGGAAGTGAAGCAAAAAACAAGTAATGACTGCAGTAAAATTAATATTGTAAAAAATAAAACAATATATAAGAGCGGCGATAAATATGCCAGCAGTAACAAAAATTGCAGCAAAAATTCAGATTGTAAGCATTGTGGTTCAATCACGAGTCTAAAGATTGCAGATTTAAAAATTCCAAATGCCATCACTGTGGTAAAATTGGACACCTAGCATCAGTGTGCAGAAATGTGAAAATTAATAAAAATAAAAAAATAGGTTTTGTATCTGAAGTAAAATCTACAAAATTTGTTAATATAAATAATAATAATGATCCGAAATTTTCTATTTACAGTGTAACATCTGAAGTTTCAAGTGCTGATGAGTTTAAAATTCCAGTGACTGTCGATGGATTATGTGTGAAGTTGGCATGTGATACGGGAGCATCTTGCAGTTTAGCACCTTTATCGTGGCTAAAAAAATGTAAAAAACAAGTAAGTCTAACTCCATGTACAACGACTTATGTTGGTTATGGTGGTAATAAAATTAAAACTGTAGGCTTGCATAATTGTAAGCTAAGTTATTGTGGAACTACAAAAAATATAACATTTGTAGTAACTAACTGTTCGACTCAACCATTGCTTGGTAGAGATTTCTTAAGCTTGTTTAATTTTCGTTTGGAACAAATTTGTGCTGTAGGCCAAACAACAAGCCAATCTGTAATTATTGATGAAATTAAAAATCAATTTGCAGAAGTTTTTAATGGGCAATTAGGTTCATATAAATCTACACTTATTTCATTACCTATTTCTGAAAATGCTAAACCAGTATTTTGTAAACCAAGACCCATACCTTTTGCTTGGAAGAAAAGCATTGAAGAAAATTTGAATCAACTAATTAAAAATGATATTTTAGAACCTATTAACAATAGTGATTGGGGTACGCCGTTGGTTCCTGTATTAAAACCAAATGGTGAAATAAGAATTTGTGGGGATTATAAAACAACAATAAATAAATATTTACATGATTATAAATACCCCTTGCCCAGAATTGAGGAAATTTTTACATCTTTAGAAGGAGGTGAACTTTTCATCAAACTTGATCTTTCCAATGCATACAAGCAACTTATTCTGGATGAAAAATCAAAACTTTTATGTACTTGGTCTACACATTTGGGTACTTTTAAAATGAAGCGTATGTCTTTCGGTATCAAACCGGCAGCATCAATATTCCAAAAAACAGTGGAAACATTATTATGTGGAATACCATATGTAGTTGTGTATCAAGATGATATAACAATATCTGGAAAAAATTTAAAACAGCATGTTGCTAATTTAAAATTAGTATTAAATAAATTAAAAAATTCTGGATTAAAACTAAATTTACAAAAATGTTCATTCTTTCAAAAAAAAATTTCTTATCCAGGATTTACTATAGATAAAAATGGTCTTAGTAAAAATCCTGAACGGATATCTTCTGTGTTAAATGCACCTATACCTAATAATGTGTCTGAGTTAAGAGCATTCATATATATATATAGGAATGGTAAATTATTACTCAAAGTTTATTAATAACTATGCTTACAAAATGATTCCACTTTATAAGCTTTTACAAAAAAATACTAAATTTGTATGGTCTGAACAATGTCAAGATGCATACGAATGCATAAAAAAAGATATCACATCAGACCAAGTACTTACACATTTCAACCCAGAATTACCAATTATACTAACAACAGATGCTTCGAATAGTGCAGTTGCAGGAGTTCTTTCTCATGAATTTTCAAAGAATGATTGCAAACCAATTGCCTTTGTTTCAAGAGCTTTAACTAAATGTGAACAAAATTACAGCACTCTTGAAAAGGAAGCGTTAGCTATAATTTTTTGTGTTTCAAAGTTAAAACAGTATTTACATGGCAATAATTTTATATTGCGAACTGACCATAAACCACTTATTTCAATTTTCAATGAAAATAAAGGTTAACCTATCATGGCAGCAGCAAGAATGCGAAGATGGGCTTTTATTATGACTGGTTTTAACTATAAAATAGAGTATGTTAAAGGACATTTAAATCATGCTGATAATCTTTCACGTATTCCGCAGACGCATTATGATGAAACTATGAATGACAACCATGACGACGATGAAAGCTATATATATAGTATTCAAGAGCAATCTCATTTAAATCTAAATTTTAAAAATATAGCACAACAAACTAGACGTGATCCAATTCTTTCAAAAGTATCTGATGCTGTTTTAAATGGAACAATTAACAATTTAAAAGGAAATCAGTTTACGTCATTTACTACCAAGAGTATAGAATTAACAGTTGATCGTGGATGTCTACTTTGGGGGTATAGAATTGTTATTCCTCAAAAACTTAGACAGAGTGTTTTACACAAATTACATGAATCTCATTTAGGAGTTGTCAAAACCAAATCTATAGCTAGATCTTATGTCTGGTGGCCAAATATAGATGTTGATGTAGAAAATTTGATCAAAACTTGCATTCCATGTCAAGAACTTTTAGCAAGCCCAGAAAAGAGCACTTTAATACCGTGGACTCCAACTGATACTGTATGGAGCAGAGTTCACATAGACTTTGCAGGTCCTATTAAAGGTTTTTATTTATTTGTAATAATTGATTATTTTTCTAAATGGGTTGAAGTATATCAAACCAGAAACATATCTTCAAGTTTTGTAATATCAAAATTAAGAGAATTATTTTGTCGTTTTGGAATTATAAATACAATTGTGAGTGATAATGGTAGACAATTAATTTCAGAAGAATTTAAAGTTTTCACCACAAAGAACAATATAAAACATATTTTGACTGCACCTGGTCATCCTTCAACCAATGGACAGGTTGAAAATTTTGTAAAAACACTAAAAAAATCTTTATATGCAAATTTGCGTAATCAAAATGAAGCAAATTTTGAAATTGTTTTAAATAGATTTCTTATGGATTACCGAAACACCACACACTGCTCTACTAAAGAGTCTCCAGCTAAGATTTTCTTAGGTAGAAGGATTAGAAATAGATTTGACTTCATGAGACCTCCATTAACTAAAGATGAAATAATATGTAATCAAGAAAGAAGCATTAATAATTATAAGGGTAAACGAAATGTTGATTTTGATATAGGTCAGAATGTGTATGTCCGTGACTACACAAACCCTAACAGATCAAGCTGGTCTCCAGCAAATGTTAAAAAAAAATTGGTCCAAGATCTTTCTTTTGTACACTTTCACATAATGGGAGGGAAATAAAGCGGCATACTGACCAAATACGAGCAGGTGCTACTAAAAAATTAGAATAAAATAATAATA